GCAGCGCTACACAGATATTATCACCCGCGAATGTGGCGCGGATCAAATCCATCACGGACGACGTCACCGTCGTGATATGAGCAAGCTCATAGTCTTGTCTGCGATACAACGCATCAGCCAAAGGATTTTACTTTCCTGGCCGATAAATCACCTTGAAGGTATGTTCCGCAAAGAATGAGAGCCACCTGGTCATCCTATGCGAGAGGTGAGGCGACTGAGTCGTAGTGCGTAATGATGCATGATCTGTGTAGATCACAAACGACTTTGAGCCAAGCAGGTGCTCCCTGAACTTGACAAGTGCATAATTTATCGCAAGTAATTGCTTGTCTTGGATCGGATAGTTCTTCTTCGCTGCCTTAAGCAGACAAGATTAGAGCGCAATCACCCGATCTTGCCCCTCGGCGTCTGCTTACAGCAGTGTACAGCCGATGTCGAAGTCTGAAGCGTCACAGACGACACTAAAAGGACGATCGGGGTCTGGCAACGCCAGTTTTGGTGCATGAAGGAGGCTGTCTTTGTCCCTGCCAAAAGCATCTCGATGCTCGGTGTTCCAACACCAATTATTTTGTTTTTAAGGAATTTAGACAGTGGCCGTGCCATTTCTGCATAATTTGCGCTATACTCGTGCAAGTACTTGGCGACACCAAGCCACTTGCGCAAAACCTTTTGATTCTTTGGAACCGGCCAGTCCACAATGGTCTTGACCTTAGTAGGATTCGCTCGAAAGCCACACTTCCCAATAAATCACTCAATAAGGGAATTTCATCGGCACCAAAGATGCACTTGTCTGCATTAGCATACAGCTTATTCGTACGCATGCACTCGACAACCGCTCTCAAATAGACGATGTGGTTTTTCACAGCTGGCCTCCGGTGCCCCGCACGACTGTGGACGAATATGTCGCCAAAGTATGTATGTGCATTCGATCGATGGGACCTAAACAATTGTGTCACAAGACGAGGAAAATGTTGCTGGTGCATTTGACAGCCCTTAGGGTATCACCAGCCACTACCGGAGCATCCCGCCTAGAGTACTCACCGCTGTCAGCGTAATGTCACGCCCTCGTGAGCAATTGGTAATAACCATCGACCAAGTCGAGTGAGCTGTTCTTTTCCACAGCAAACCATATTGTTCTGGAGAACATCCTTTTTGGGACTCAGCGTCTGTTGCACCGAATAGCTTATTAGAAGCGTGAGCAATGCGCTCCTTGCCGTCCGGCATCCGGACACAAAACGTGGGTGTTGAATGGGGAGACTTGCTCTCTGCACCATTCCTGCCGCATGCCTTGCACGGAAAGGCGTCAATGACGTCACACTGCTTTTTTGGACAGGGGCCATTGGCGAGTTACGCAGTTTTTGATTTCCGGAACCAGGTCAATCTTATGGCGCACACCTCGGTCTAAGGGAGGACCAACGGCGGGTCTTTGGAGATGACGTTTTGAAATTCCTTTACCAAAGGACAGTATGGATACTAGAGATTTTTCAGAATCAAAGATCCACTTCGTGCGCTCAGCACCCTCTTGGTGTCCACCAGGACAGCTTCATCTAGAAGTAACGACAATTTGATCTCCTCTTTCGATCGTATGATGACCATTCGGCCAAGTCGCTTTCCTTCAAGGCACCGCCAAACTCTTGAGGAACATCTCGTCCAGCTCAAGAAGAGCATCCACCGCAAGAGTAGCCATGAGGGTAACGTCGCCTTCTACCTCCCCCGTCATACCGTTGACGAGGGTGTATAGCTGAGTGCTTTCATCTGCGGTAGACGCATCCTGGGTCATATTCGACGCCCGGCGTTTCGCAGCTAGAATACGGCATCGCTGTCGCCTTGTCACATAGGTATTACGTCTCGGCTAGACCGGTGTAAACTAGCACTCAGCTTCTTCCGTGTCAGCTCCACTTCCTGCTCAGCCGGATCCCTAATGTTATTAACAACATCCTGCAAAGAGCTGCTAGCATTTGTCCAGTGGATAACGTACCACTCGAAGCGCATCTGAAAGGTCTTGCCCAAGATGCCTCGGACCTCGTCCGACCATGCCACTCGTGGCATGCAGCGACTGCGTCGAAACATGAGTAGTGCGCAGTGGACTAATGCTACTTCACATTCATCACTGGGACCTTGCTTTCGATACCTCGGATCTCGTCCGACCATGCAACTCTTGGCATGCAGCGATTGCTTCGAAACGTGAGCAGTACTCAGTGGATTACGTGCCACACCACGTTCAGCCCGCGAGCCACGCTCGGGACATCTGTCTGATACATCTTCGGCGTTCGACAATTCCGAAATCCGCCCTCCTGCACGTTGACCTTCTCGGTCCAGGGCCTGCCCTAATAGCGCGTTTCCCTCCTAGTTTAGCTGGATCTATGACTTACCAAAGCTCCACCAGGAGACGTGTTCGTAAGCGCCAAACGTCTTCGACCTCCAATCAATCCATGGATCATGGTATCCCAACCATGTCATACCAAGGATATGGTCATACCTTGAACCCAAGTCTAAGACAATGCAGCGTTCCACGCATACAAAACCAATGGACTTGACACCGAGGTCCACAGGAACCCTCGGCACAGTGACACCTATCCCGTCGCTAAGCGAACAGTGACGATGTCACACACGCGCTTTCAGCACCTCAGCATACAGCTGACTTCCTTCAGTCGTGGAGCACCAGAATCGATAAGTATTTTCCATGGCTTTTCAAAGCAATTCACGGTCGCTTCCCTGACCTAAAAGCCTAGCTACATACACGTTCCGTGTTCAAGAGCACGGGGCCCTTCGGGTGTGGTTCTTGCTGCCCTCTACCTTCTTTGAGGCGCAGCCGAACTCGGTTCTTTCCCAGAAAGGCCACACCGCGCTTACTGGGTGCTGTCGTTTCCCCGCGACAAATTCGAAGACTAGTAGGAAGGGGATCGCCGGTTCAATAAACGTTGGCGCGCCTTGCTTACGGGACAGCCAATTTAAAGGTGACTGATATTTCCGCAACCAAGCCACCGTTGGGTGCTCAAACGCTGCTAGTCAGCTCGGAGCTCTGCCTCCTCGTCCTCAGCATAGGTGAGATCCATCGGCTCAGGCCCGCTCGACGACCTGCTAGAATGTGCATTCCAGCCAACTCGTGCCAACTTGAATTTGAATTCGGCATTCAATGCCACATTCACCACTTTCCTAATTAAAGACGGGTGTTCACGGTAGACTTCCATTCTGGCCACGCCAATGCGGAGGTTCTCCATAAAGACGGTCACTGTGACCGCCTCGGGGGGG